AAAAGAAGACAAAGGGAGCGAGATGCGTATTTAGGGCGCCGCAGCCCGCCCGCGGGAGGAGAAAGGAGAAAAAAAGAAAAGCAAAGAAATGAAGCAGAAGACAAGGAGACAGAAGGAGAAAAGAAGGAAGAAGGAGGAAGGAAGAGGAAGAGGGATGTAGTATGCGTTTTTAGGGCGACGCATCCCGCCCAGACAGGAACAGAGGATGAAGGCCAAGGCTCGAGGAGGAAGACGTCGAATTTCACACGGGGGCCAAGAGGACGGACACGAAATAGCAACGGAAGGAGAAGACGACGACAAGCCAAACTACGTGAGGAAGACGAGGATTAGGAACAGGTAGACGGACAAGAAGACGAAGACGAGGAGCAAGGTGAACGACGCGAGGACAAGCAGGCCATCCCTAAGCGGGCGAAGAGGAGGAGGACGAACGCGCGGGTCACGAAAGGCAGCAAGAAGAGAACGGGAGGAAGGAGAAGCCACCCCTAGACGGGCGAAGAACCAGAAGACGGACACGCGGAAGATGGAGGCGAGAAAAGGTGAGACGTAGCTATGATCTGATGGCTGTCTTCCCTTTGGTGAAACCTCGTTCCTGCTTAAACTTCCGGCGAACCGGCCCGGGGTCACACGATGGGTACACCCGAGGTTCCCCCAAGATGGGGTGACCACACTTCAACTCCCAAGGGAGGATGCTAATCGTTCGAGTACAACTGATGAGTCTCGAGTACAACTGATAAGTCTCGAGTAAGATAAGTTTCGGCTTGCAAGGCACTTGGCTTCTCTTTAGTGTCGAAACGTTACCAGATCCAACATGAAGCACACACAGCGAGAGAAACAACGGGCCAAAAGGGCTTTGCACAGCCACTGCAGGTACACAGCTGGACGTCTCCGGGTCACGAGAGTGTCTTCGTTGGTGGCAGACTCTTGGCCTTCTGCCACCCCCTGCTGAAAAACATAGTCACGACGAGAAAAGTGGTGTCAGGGTGAATCTGACACTCCGCACACACACACCACACGCACACACACACACACGCACCACACGCCCACACACACACCACACGCCCCCACACACGCACACACCACACGCCCCCACACACACCAGACGCCCACACACACACACCAGCCGCCCACACACACACACCACACGCCCACACACACACACACACCACACGCCCACACACACACACACACCACACTGTCACACGCCCCACACACACACCACGCTGCCACGCGCCCACACACACACCACAC